TGAGAATAAAGATTTTCACTGACTGAAACGTCCTCATTTCTGTCCTACAGTGCATGTTCTGTATCCTTCTCCACGTACAGTTCTGGTGCTGCAATAACTGTAGCTACATCCTGCTTTAGAAAGAGTTTGGTAATTAGTATCCTTTGGGGAAGATGATAATCAATCTCTGCTGGTTTTTACCTCTTTTTCTTTCAAGTTGCAGGAATTGCAACAACAGCTTGGTCCTTCTTCTAATTTATTCTTTATTCCATTTCACTCTTTTGTTTCTGATGAAACAACCCCTCACAATCTGATATCAGTGAAAGCCAGCACAGTGTCAAAAGCAAGTCCCACGTCTGGCTGCCAAGCAAAAGACAAAATGTACCAGTAGGATGCTGTGCAGCAGCAGTACTTCCAGGAGGCAGCCTTCTTCCAGATCTTGTCCCTGGTGTGTCACTGCTAGAGAGAACACAACCAACATATTTTAATGAAGAATATTGGCAGCTGACTGGAAAAGAAAAAACTGTGTTTATTCTTTCTGTAACACCATTTGGACTAGTGCCATTTATACATGTTCAGGGGAGATTGCCACCTATGCTTCCAGCCTTGACCATTTCAGCCCCTGCCTCTGGTGGTCCCTATGCAACTCTAGAGAAAAATTGTTGGGTATTGCTTGCTTCTTTCTCCTCTTTTTTTTTTTTTTTTTTTTTTTTGCTTAATGTTTGTTTGTTTGAGGTTCTTTGTTTGTTTTCTCCACGTGGATAAATTCAATCATTCTTTTTCCAGTGAGCCTCATGGATAACTGTAGTGGTGTAACAGGAGAACAGAGATGCAGGAGCAAAAGAGAGTGACAGGAAGCAAGAAATTCCTCCGCCGGCTTCACTGCTTAAATAAACATGTGGAATTGTACCTAGAACTAGCTTTGTATTACCTGCTGAGCAGCTAGTGAGCTACAGAGCACAGCAGTGGTTACCTGCATATTTTCTGGGTTTCAGAACTGGACTCTGCTGCCTGTGTTGGTACCATGACAACACTGCCTGTGGTACCTGGAATCGCTCATTTAAACGTAGTCTATAAGTGGTCTCTGTGAGCTTTGGTCTGTGCAGACATACAGCAAGATATAATCATGGATTTTGCAAGTCCAAAGCTAAACACTATGTTAGGGCTGCCTTTCCTTCACTTCCACAGTCCTTTTTGCAGTTATATCTCAGGCCTGTTGACTTCAATCTGTTTGTTTTCAAAACATACCTGCAGGGCAGGCAAGCAGCCCCGTCTGTGTCCTGTCGAGTGAGATATGAGAACACACTGAAAAGCAGCAAGGATCGCTTGGGACTTCACTACTCCATCTGTGTGAGGGCAGCCATCAGTGCCACAAGAGAGCTGATGGGCTGTGCAGCTCTTCATTCCTCAGCACAACGCTGGGTATCTGCACTTCACTGCTTGAGGCTGGCCCTAGCTATTCTGACTTGTACACAAAGTGGACAGGCAGCATTTTGTGTCCTGCAGCCAGGGCTAGGAGGTGACCACTGTAGGAGAAGCACTGTCCTGAAATGCCAGATATATGGGGATTCACTCCAGGAGTTTGTAGTGGAGCAGAATATTGATGTCAATGCACCACATTCTCCATCACTAAGCATCCTCTGTCACTCATGAAAATTGGCCTTCCGTCTGAAATCATTGTCAATGTTGTAATTATGAAAGTACAGATATTTTAAATGCAGCTGAGTAAATGTGCAAGTCATGGTGGTTTCGTGCTTTAAAAGCTCTGCCTGTATTTATGTAATTGGGTTATAATCATAGAGGAGGAACTGAAAGCCTCAACCTCAACCGTGGGAAAAATGTCAGAGGTGCCCTCACCCCCACCTCTGCCAGAAGTTGCTGTGGGTGAATTGTGCAGGCCATGGAGTCACCCTAAACAACCTATCAGAATTCTGCCTTTAAAATGTTATGGGTTTGGGGGTTTTTAACCAGGTCACTTTGCAAATCCAATTTCGAGTTTGCGGCATACATTATATGGACAGTCTTTGCTTTGGGGTAACTCGTATGTACTATGATGTGCAGCTGGAAAATCGGCAACTCCATGGCTGTAGTAATATAAGACTTAATCTTTATCTAGTCCATTGAATTTGGGGGAAGAAGAAATGCCATTTTCACTTTATTGTGATATAGAAATCAGTGTTTAAATTCTAGAAGATTCACTTCTGGGATACGCTGAAGTGATCTTTTCAGAAGTTGCTGTGCACTTGTCCTGGGAGGAATAAGTGAACAAGTAGGGGTGGAAGCAGCAGAATCCTGGGCAGGGTGTGACCACAAGGGGTGGCCATGGGGAGGGTCAGCAGGGGCAGAGCTTCTCCAACTGACCAAGATTCTCTTCATTAACTGGGCAGGGGCTGGAAGTACTGAGGCAAGATTATGTAGTGGGGCTGTTTCCTCTCAGGGGAGCTTGGGTACCTCTGATATAATATTGCTTCCTTCCCACTTCTTGTACCCCTGTGCCATAGAAGGATTAACGTCAAGAAAATTCTTATGGCCTGAAAAAACTTCAGACTTCCAAAGCACAGGCCAAAGAGTAGCTGCATTCCATCGTTATGTACATAGTTATGTTCAGGTTAGAGTTCACCTGCTGTGAATGCACCTTTTTTCAAGCTTTTTTACTTTGTTGTAATTTAACAACAATCCTTTCCAGGTATTTAATGAAAGTATGTGCTGAGACCTAGAGAAATTTCTGCCAGCATAGTCTTTACATCACAACTCGAAGCTGTGTGAAGGAATGTCCAAGTTCTCTGGAGTGGTCCTTCATTTTATTCTGATTCAGAAATGGAAAAACAGGCAGGGACAACAAAGAGCAAATTTAATTTTCCTTCTTAAACCCTGCCAGTTCGAATAATCTCTTGCTGAGTTTCCTGATGTGGCTATTCACATTCCTTCATGAACTCAGACTGGCTGTTAGCAGCCTCCAAATAAAACATGGTTATATGGAGATTTACCTTGGCCCTGTTCTTGCTTGGCGACATGAGATGCAGAGAACAGCCAACTGGTTCAGTTCATGCTACATGTCCTCTTCCAGCAACTGCTTCCTGTACAAGCCCACTGCTCTCCAAATTAATGGGATTGTTGCTTTAGCTCAAGATGTAGGAGATTTAATTCTGGTGTTTGTGTCAGCGATCAATGAAGTCAGGAAACTGCCTTTACAGAGCATTCAAAAGCCCTTTTATTATGAAAGAATCAAATCCAGGCTTCTGTTAAATGCAGTAAAGGCTGCCATCATTAAAACATTGAGGCTGGAAGTTTGGCCACAAAAATGTTACCGTAATGCAGTTGGTATTCAGTCCTTTCTGTCAGCGTTGCCAAGTCTGGCTTTTATTTATTTATTCATTTTCACAAGTCTCATGTTTTTCAGGCATTCCATAAAGCCTCGGTGTTTACAGGCATCTTACTCATCTGAGAATCTCAGCTTCCAGTTTTTAAAGATCTGCTATTAGCCCTCATGGACAGGGAGGAAGCAGGAACGTGCGATAAGGCTGATCCTCATAGGCAAAAACAGAAGGCTCATAAAAGCCCACATTTAAAAAGTCAAATACGATATTTTTAAGAGGATCTCATGAACTTGGTCTCCCATTTATGTGTCTCAAGTGCCTGGCGTAGACTCCACTAATGATCTCCTGGGTCAGGCCATGATGCGAGTGCAGAGGTGCTGTGAGATGCAGAGAGCTCTGCAGCACACAGATGGATTGGGGGAGGAATCCTCTTTCCATTTATTATATTCCTGCTTTAACTTCATGGCCTGAGCCTTGCCCTGTGCACCCTGTTTACTGTGTGTTTCATAAAGGCCAGAGGACTCATCCTGTTGCTCTGAAACTGTTTAGCCCATCTTTGGCTGGATTTACTGTTCAGGAAGAACAAGCGGTTGCTTAGGAAAGCGCTGTATTTAACGAGAGAGCTGGGCTGGATTTTTTTCAAACAAACAGATAAAAGCCAGCAACTCTCAGCTTGGCATGGACTTTGCCGTTTTGTTTGTTGCATCACCCCATTGTCTTCTCTATCCCTTCTTCTTTTAAAAATTTCTTTGTTACAGCATTTCACAACCCACAGCCTGGATACTGTAATTCCTGAAGGAATGCACAGCATAATGAATACTGCATGATCACAAAATAGTTCACCTCGTGCAAAGCCATAGCAGAAAACGATGCAACATGGCTGTTTCCCAATCATCCCTGCTTCACTGGTTTCTTTTATTTGGAGAAATTCTTTCAGCTTCTTTTCACAGGGGATACCAAGTGAGAGGAAGTGTAACCTTTCTCCACCCAGCAACAAAAATGCAATGGTTTTGGAACACTTCCCATTTCCATGATGTCTCGGTACAACGCAGCACAGAGGTTAAACTGGTCTGTACCTTCTTCCCTGGCTGCAGGCAGGGGAACTGGGGTTCAGAGATGTTGGGTGACCCACACATGACAGCACTTGGGAGAAACAAGCTCTGCCCCGTAGGAGAAGCAGCTTTGCCATACTGCTGGGGCCAGAGTTAACAGCAGAACTTTTTAATTTGGTGTTTTTTAGCAGCACTTACATATATCTAGATATTAATTAATAGCTTATTTTAAAAGGTCAGGTTGTTGAGTTTCTTATTTTGCAAATTGGGTTTTTGAGAAGCACTTCCACAGACTGAGGTATTAATTAACGGTTTATTTTAAAAGTCAGGTTGGCATTTTTAAGTGTCTCATTTCCGCGGCCGTTCCCGGGCACAGCGGCGGCGCCGAGGTCCCGGCAAGACCGGGGCACCAGGGAGGGCCCGTGTAACCTTTGGCACCGCAGCTCGCGCAGCCCCACGGCTGCCCCGCGGAGACTCCGCAGAGAACGGCCCGGGGAACGGCCGGGCCGGGTGGGGCCGAGCCCCGGCCCTGCCCCGCCAGCCCGGCCCGGCCCCACCGCGCTGCCCGGGCGGGCCCTGCCCGCGGTGCCGCCCGGCCGCTCCCCGCCCGTCGCAGGGCTGACGCGGCGGCGCCGGCGCAGCTCCGGCCCGAGAGCGGCGGGGGCGGAGCGCGGCCCAGGCGGCGGCCGGGCTGAGCCGGGCGGCGCCGCGGGCAGAGGTGAGCGGGGGGCGCCGGGGGGCGGCGGCGGCGGCCTCGGCCCGCCCGGAGCTCGGCCCCGCGGGCGCGGAGCGGCGGGGCCCGGGCGCTGTCAGCGCGGGGCGGCGGGCGGGCGGGCGGAGGCCGCGGGGCGCCGCGTGTGGCTGCGCTGCCTTCCGGCCCTCCCTGCACTCCGGCCTCCGGCCCTGCCCGCCCCGCGCTGTCCGGGGGCTGCCGCGGGGCTGAGACCGGGCCAGCGGGAATCGGGGGGAATCCAGGCACGCTGTGCCCTGGGCAGTACGAGGAGGCTCGCCCTGACTACGTCCTGAGAGAGTTGGGGCGTTGATGGAGTTGGGAAGCTATAGAGGGGAATTTTCAGGTGTTGCAAGAGCTTTGTTTGTCCATCATTGGGCTCTCGACCTCCCTCCTCTGTCCCCAAGTTGTCTTCTTCTCCCTGAGACTCCCAGTATCTGTGCAGTGTAAGCACAGCTTATCTGCTCCAGTGCTATTTGCTCTCCCCTCCCTCAGCCCTTCCAAGCTGTGCTGGCCGGGAGAGACAGGGACAGCAGCTGTGGATGCTGAGCCACGGGACAGGCACAGCACAGATGTGTTCCTCAGCTAAAGGCTGCGTTTAACTAATGTACCCTACCATTTCCAAACTCCACTTGTTCTAGCTCAGACTTCTAGCTCGGAAGAGAAATGGATTACCTTTGGTAATACCCTCATCTTTTCATGTTGCTAACACAAGAAGAGAAGTCATTTTTAAAAGCTGCAGGAAAATGTGTTTAATACTTGTAGAAATACACTCTCTCTTAAGGAAGGCCTTCAGGAAGCATCAAGACTTTGACACTGTTGACCTCAGACACACTCAAGGGCTTCAGATGAAATACCAGTTTCTGTTTCCTTCACAGCGCTTGGACCGCAAAGTTTGATGGACTTTGTTTCAGCTACTTCCGTGCTTCTGCCTTGCAGAGGTATTCAGGAAGGAAGGGACAAAGCTTGAGTCACATTTCATTAAAATCAAACTAAAACCTGAAGATTAAAAAGTATTTATATCCTTATGCTTTGCTTATACAAAAGGATCTTTGGGTTCTTTAATCTAGAAAATTTCCATCTCTGATTTGTGACAGTATTTCTCTTAAAAGTTCTGTTACCTAATATACATCTCTCCATAATCTAGTTTAGCCTAAAGGAGGATGTTTCTTTAAGTAAACTCTTATCATCTTGCCAGAAATAAATCTAGTCGTGTACCAGCTAGGTGAGACAGTGAGTTCCCAGAAGTGCTGGTTGAGAGAAGAGTCCATGGTAACTGTAGGAGTTGAAGCTTTGCAGTGTGACCATGAGGTCACCAGCTACGTGTCCCGCTGTGTTCCTCTGAGTCAGTAACTTCGGACTTTGGCTATTTCTGTATGGTCTTGTGCTAATGAGTTATGTTGTGTCAAAGTGCCTTTCCCTAGGGCTTGCTTCACCCTGGGACAAAATGTTTGCTTAACAGTTAACAGAACTGTGCTGGTCAGAAAAGGAAGAGAAGAGGGGATAGTTGCCAGTGCTGTGAGTCTGCTTTTGCATGTGCTAATTGAGTCATTTCAGACTTCCTAACCTTATCAGCTTAGCTCTGGTCACGTGGTGGTTTGAAGAGAGACACCCTTCTCCAGCTTCCTCTCTCTTTCCAATTTTGGATCCTGCTTGGGGGAGGGAGGGCATCTTCTTGCACAGCATATCTCAGCTGCACACCACAGTCTCAGGCTGGCTTTCTCATTCCTCCTTATGTCCTGTCCTTGGGAGCTGCCCAGACCTCCACTGGAAAAGGCTGAGCTCTGAATCTTGTAAAAACTGCCTCCCACGGGAGCAGGTGATGCATGAATTACTCCTGCCTGCACAAGGCCATGCTCTCAAAGCTGTTCACTTTATTTACATTACTGATGTTCTTTAAAACAAGCTTCTTTAACAGAAGAATTTCCATGTATCTCGTGATCCACTGGGCACCCTGACACAGCCCTAGATGGCTTGTGGTGGTCTAAGCATGAAGGAGCAGCTCTTCTGCAGTGCTGTGGGTTTGTTCTGCACTTGTGTGGACGAAAGGTTCTGTGATCTGCTGCCTTTGGTAGCAGCATTTGCTGGGACTGCTTTCCCCATTTATGTGCTTTTCAGTTAAAATCTGGGGTCTCTAAAACTCAAAAATAAATAGGACTGCCAAGGACTAATGGGTGGTTAAACTAAGAGGCTTATAAGGGTGAAAGATATGAATGTAAAGTATCTTTTACAGTACTCCACTGAACGTGATGTAAGTTGCAGCCATGTAAGTTGCAAATGGAGCAATCTGCTGATTGATCTAAGGAAAATACAGTGTGTGTGTGTGTGTGTGTGTGTGTGCGTGTGTGCACTGAATTTGTTACTCATAAAGGATTGAGGGCCTCATGATCCTTCGTTCCCATGCAAGTGTGCAGTACTTGATGTCAAGTTGCCATTCATGTTTGCTTGCAGCTTACCAGAGCTCTTGGGATAAGCATTCTGAAAACTGAGTGGTTCCCAAACATATTTTTTAAAAATTCGGGTATAAAACAAATTTATAATCAGAATCTGCCTTTAATATAGAAGTGTAACAGTCTGGGGTTGTCTTCGTCCAGTGCAAAAGAGATTGGGCCTTTTAATATTTAACCATTTGCAGATGATATGTCAAACACAGCTAAAGGGGTGAGTTATGGTAAATTCCTTTAACTTTTGGTCTTTAGGACGTGTACGTTTTGGGCTTTTTGAGTTTGAGGTTTGCTGGTGTAGTACTGGCAGCATCCCTGTGCAGTCACCCAGCACAGCACAGAAACCTGGCTACCTCTGCTGTCTAGCAAAACAACTGTTAGTGGTGCAAGTTCCTCAGTTCAGAGGTTTTTCATATGTATTAATGAATGGGGCAAATATTTCACTTCAGATTCTTTAACTTTGGGCAGTGCTTGCTTGGTTTTTGGTTTCACATTGCTGATTTCAGTTCCTTTTCTAGCAGTGCACTTCTAAGTTGTCCTTTTGTCTTGCTGGTTTATGGTGCCAAGTAAACCCAGTGATACTCCTGTAGCACTGGTGGAAAGTAAGTTCTTCAAGCAGCATCTTGAATTAAATATTTGCATATGGATTATCTTTTGTCACTCTAAGTAACACTGTTGTTAGAAAAGGAGCTGTTTCAGCTCCTAGGGCTGGGATTAATTGCTCTTTGGAGGCCTCCACTTTAAGGGGATCCAGACTCAAAACTGATCATGTTTGAAAAGGGAGAGGGGAGAGGAAGAAAACTTTGCTTGGATTAAATGGCTTACTCAACTTTATTTACACTTTAGGGAGAAACGTTTTTGTACAGAAAACTTGTGTAATGTGGAGAAATTGATGTGGGCATCACAAATAAACATTAAATATTTTTTAATCCTGTAAGTTATAATTAAATCCTTTTTTTAAAGATCTAAGTTAAAAATGAAACAGAAGAACAGGTAGGGAGAGTAGATTTCCTAACATCTTCCTTTGTTGCAGTTTTAAGAAGCTGGATCTCATGACACCAATGAGCAAATTATCTGTTTTCATTGCTGTTGCAATTGTGTTGAAACTGTGGCATCACCCTTGCCTCCATTCAGGTTTGCTTTGGGTCCTTTTTGTTACAGGACTTACCTTTGCTAGAATCTGATTCAGTGTTTTTCCTGCTATGATCCTAAGTTCAGTCTCCTGTGGGTAGAACAGTGGCAGCTGTAGGAATTTCAGCTCCTGTGTAATCCATGGCCATTCAGAAAGCCTTTTTCTATGTCTGAAGCATTGTCTGTGGAAGCTGCTGGGCTTGGCTGTGGGAGAGCAAGGAGAAAGGTGATGACTCCAAATTATTCAGAAGTGTTCTTAAAAACTGCCAGGTATGTGGCACCTATTGCAGAGCCTGAGAAAATTAAATCCTTACCTTCATCTGCTGTGCTCTACTTGGAGTGCTCAACACTTGCTGTGTTGGCAGAAGCCCCTTGTGTATGGGGCTCTGTTGAGAATGTTGAGATTTGCCTGGGTTTGTTTGTTTTACCTGGATGAAATGTGTCTGGAGTAGGCTGTCCAGCAAGCCTGTGGTTTGGCTGATGTTTACTGAGGCTACTCAAAGAATGTTTTGTAGGTGCTGCACACAATAGACAGACACATAGAGTTTGTAGTGGAAAAGCAGGCATCTGCAGTAAACTGCATCTAGGGTAGAGAAATAGGGAAGTGCTAGACGAGCAAGTACAAGAAAATTGGTGTGATGAGATGTTATGTCCTGATTTTTCTGATAACTGAGTTATGTGGTGAGTAATAGAGGGTTACAAAAGAGCCAGGCCCTGTTGCAGTGTTTTTATACTGTTAAGCTATGCTCTCGAAACTGCTGTTTGTGTCTAAGATGAGTAGAGTGAAAAATGCAGAGGAGCTTCTTAAGTCAGACTTTTTGAATACCTGATTTTGCAGGAGTCATTCATACTTGCCTTAGAAGTCCAGTTGTTAATGTTTTATTTTCATTTATAGACTCTATAGGCTCCTTTATTTTGAGCTACACATGCCTATGTCTAATGATTAGGAGAGACATGGCTTAGACGAAACTTGTTATAATAGTCTGTAAGTCAGAATAAGTCTGATAAAGGGGCAGGACAAAGTCCTTTTCTGAACTTGAGGAAAAATACAGACTGGTAAAATACGGGATGGGATGTACATAGTGAGACTGGGGCAATTTGCATGAAGCATCCCATGTTGTCTGTGCTGCTTTTGCCTTCCCCTTGTGTTTCTGGATTCTTCTGACTTTTAATTAATATTTTTAGCTACGTAGTGAAGATAAACGCATATTACTGTGCATGCTTTACACTCTTGTGTAGTCTCAGATATATCCTTATTAAACACTTGGAGATGCAGGTTTTTTAGTGGGGAAAGAAATTTTAAAGGTGATTAGCTGCTGCGCTGCATTGGTACTGCTTTGTTAATGCAAAGATAAACACTGATTACAGAAGCTGATAGTGGTGATGTCATACAGACTGAGGTGTTGCTGTAAATATAGAGCAATTACTTTGGGAGTAAACTGTGTCATTCTTTATCTAGTCAGAGAATCAAAATTTCTGTGGGTGTTTGTGTTTTGCTGTTCCTTTAAAAGAAAACTTTGTGTGAGTTTGTGAAATGTTTTCAGAGCTGCTCACGTTTATTGCACAAGAGTAAGGGCTCCTTTGTGCAGTGTTGATGGGGTGGGGTACCTGCACACACTTGTTGATAAACCGGACTTCAAAGTTTTGTTTTTCAAAAGCCTTTTGAGGCAAGCTGGTTAACTGTGCTTGCCCTATGGCATGGGCAGTGAGAGAGGTTTAACCTCAGGCTAGAGAGTCATGAATTACATATGGAGAGCATGGGATGGTGGGAATTACCTGTTTATTGCTCTACCTCTAGGGAAGGTAAATGAGCAAAGCCTGTTTACACACCGAGCGGTTGCAACTATGACTTGTTTTTTCCTTTTGGTGGAAGTGCAAATGTCTTAGGGAATGTGGGGTTGTGATTGGAGGAGGGGGTGGAATTTTGGATAGGCATGTGGCCTGAGGGTGTGCCTTAGTGTTTTGCTATTATGTTACAGTCCAGATAACTCTGAATTCATTTCCCTTATTCTTTCAGCTGTCTTTGAAGATCATAATGCAGCAGAAAAATGAAAAGCCATAGAAGACATTTGCTTTGGCAAAGAAGTCAGCCGCAGGCCCAATCTGGAAGATGGACCACTGGTTTTGGGAAACTTGGGAAATACTGCTTCCAAAAGCAAGTTTTCCTAACTTAGAAGAGAAGACAGAGTGCTCATCTATTTGTGAGATTAAATCACAACAAACTGTGCAGAAGGAAGACACTTGAGCTCCAAAGCAGGTGGGCTCCTGATGTGCTTCTAAATGCAGAAACCTGTCCAAAACCTACTGTTGAAGTAGTTATAAAACCACTGAGAGCAAAAAGATCCTGTCCCTATCACGAAGCTGAAAGCTCGTCTGGAGAAGCAGTAAGGAAACTCAACAATGAATCCTTTCAGAGTAAAGATCCCTTGAATGAAGAATTTGAAACTGTTTCTGTTTTCAATAGCATCTCTGGCCATATCCATTATGTCTCATGTGGCTGGCTGGAAGGTGCTGCCTTACCTGTAAAGAAAGGTAGTTTTGTATATTGTGGGGAGGAGAGCAATAATGATGTGGGCGACACAGTCCTGGTAGTTTTAAACAACTATAAAAGGAAATGCTGTTGCAAAGGGAGTGGAATGGAACTTGTGGCCCCTTGACAGCTCTAAAGAGGTCCAAATTTAACCATCATACTGTAAAAAAGAGATTTTTATTTATGATGCATAAGAAACTTTCTATGGTTAGGTTTCGGTATAGAATCATAAAATTCCCGAAACTTCGAGCAAGAGGCAAGACTTGCAAATTAAGAAAAATCAAGCGAAGGTGGGTGCAGAAAGTTACAAGGGACCATCAAGAAACGCTTCAGCAGGATTTTGAAAGTGGGTTCTGTAATTTGTTTTCCTCCTGGAAATCTAAAAGTAAGCGTCTTTGGAAGCGGTACAGCTTATCAGATATGAACAATAATACACCCAAATCTGTAGGAGCAGAAAATGAAATATGTGCACCTGAGATCTGCCACACACAGGATGTGTCTGCTGAGCCGTGTTCTGAGGATCCAGCATCCAGAGGGCAGGATGGCAGTGTCGATGCTGTCCCACCAGAACTGCATGTTAGAGCTTCTCCAGAGGCAGAAACCTTGCACCAAGTGGAGACCAACGGGGCTCTGGCAGAGGATCATTGCTCTGACATTGTCGTCTCTGTGACAGGAAAAGAAATTGGTGTTTCAGATCAAGATGGTGCAGAATCCAAGGAGGTTGAGGGTGTAGATGGAATGACACTGTTGCAATCCTCTTTGCCGGATTCTGATGTCAGTGATAATTTTGCAAATGGACCTTTCTCCATGGAGCTGGCACAGAATGAGGACAGCTCTAGCCAGATGGAAGTAGAAGGCTCCTTAAACCTGGACATTTTTAGTTCAAAATTACTAGATCACCCTTACTGTAAAAGTCCTCTTGAGGAGCCTTCACCAGAAAGCACAGGAAAAAATCTGAAATCAGGAACTCGGAAGGGAAGCAAAAGGAACAGTCAGAAAACTTCCCGGGTGGCTGATGAGCAGTTGGCATCGTGGCTTTGTGGTATACCTTTTAAATATCTTAGGGCATCCAGGAGTTCCTGAAAGCTGCTGCATGTATTGTGCAGTTTACATACTGTGTTAATTCCTTTATAAAAATGGTTTCTTATTCTGTATTGTAAAGGTCACTTAGCATAATATTTGATTAAATGAGGCTGCAAAGAGGAGAGCTGCGTGGAGGAGAGCTGCATGAAGGAGGGACAAATGAATGTTTATGTGACAAGCTATTTTAAGATTTTTTTTTAAGAGAATGCAATGTAGTTTAATTGGAATCTGCAGAAAATTGTTGGTAGGAAATTTAAATGTCTTGTCACGTGGAATCAAAAGGTTCAGGTTTTTAACCTGTTGACAATTGTTATTCTTAATTTGGTTTTTGAAAATTCTAGGTATTCTAATGCTTCCTTCTACCCTTATCCTCTCTTCTCTTGCTCTTAGTCTTAAACTAAGTCACTTAAACTCAGGTTTTAATAGCCAAATACTCTTCATTGTCCCTTATTTTTTTCTGCAGTTGTTCATGGAGTAAGCTTAATGACCCCTATGAGATAATATTTTTTAAAAATACTAGTCTTAGCAAAGGTTCAGCAAAAAAGCTTTGGGGTCTTTTTGTGCTATTCTGAGCATGCAGTATTCGATAGTCTCTCTAAAGAGAAGCATGATAAAAATAGTAATTGGTGTCTTATTTATGTGTAGTAGCTTTCTACACACAGAGTAAGGAGTAGTAAGCTAAGACGTTGTGCCATCTTGTGCCATCAGTGTAACTTCAGAGATGTTCTGATAACTTCCTTTGGAGAAATGGGCTTTTTAGAGTCCCATAAACTTTAAGCTGGTGTCAGTGAGTGTTAAAGGAATTGTTTGAAGTTTGACATGCTCTGACTTTTCTGCCTACCTGCTTGTCCTTCAATTTTGCAGTTGTTTTCTCTAAAACAAAATATGAAGAAGGAGACAGTGAACCTCTAGAGAGGAGTTAGCTCTCCACATCCATGTCTGTAAGTTAGTGTCAGATATGTATCTCTGTGGCTGGCTTTATGTGATCCAGCAAGGACCAGATGCAGTGTGAGAAATTGAGAGAAACTGGTAACTCAGTGAAGAGATCGCTTCTGCAATGGAGTTTTAAAATTTGTTCATCAGAAAAAGAGATGTAGTCCTTCTATAACAGGCGAGATCCGAGGTTGTATCAGAGTGGCAAAGGTTAAAGTTTTGTGGTCTGATAGTACAGTACTTCTGACTTTTTTCAGCTGAAAAGCTGTAAAGAAGAATTTTAGTTATGGTATAACTGTACAGGAGCTCTTGTGTGTTTAGGAGTGTTAATAATTAACTGCACCCTAAAAGGTAGGACTGACCTGGCAAGAGTTCCTGGGGTAGAAAAATGAAGGAGGTGCAAGTGTTAGGGCTGCTCTTGGGTTTTGAATTTCTCTGCAGCAGCTGAACTCGGACCTTAATGGGCTGCAATGCTTAGTGCATTCAGAAGTGCTATTAGGTATCAAACAGCCCCATGGTAAATCCTGTTCATGATGGGTATCTGATTTTGCCCCAGGGCTGAACTTTGTATTCTCTTACTTGAGTTACACCAGCCCAAGTGAGGTCAGTATTGCTGGAGGTCTGGAGCTCTGCTGCTCTTAGTTGTAATGACAAAAACAGTCCTTCCTCTGTGTATTAATAAGAAGTCTTCAAAAATTCTATATATTGAAACAGAAAAAGGTGCACTCACGAGCCTCATGCATTGTTTAGCTAGACTTCTAGCCAGAGTGAAAAACATCTTCCCTGTCACAGTGTACTGAGATATAAGGGATAAAAGTTTTTAGGCAAATATGTGGCAGAGTTGCAAGGAAGGTTCTTTCCCCATAAAGAATGCTTCATTGTGGTTTGATCTTGCTCTTCAATTCTTCCTCCCTTCCTTCTGTCATACTTCTTGTTATATCTTCACTGCTATTCTCAACTCATTGTGTTTGGGTTTTTTTCTTGGTCTGTCTCCTTTGGTTTTTATTCTTACTGCTGTTCTTCTGGCATTTTTTCTGTACAATGTTTCTCTCCTGTTGCTTTTTCCTATCCTGATCTTGAAAGTTTCCAGGAAATGTTCTTAAAGCCTTAGTAAGCACACACTGTCCTATCCAGTGATGCTCTGCCATCACACCCCAGCCTCAGAAGAGTCCTGGACTTTGGATTAATGCAATTTTCCTGGACTCTGATCTCAGATCCAGCTTTCTGTACACACGAGCTTTCTGTACAAAGAACACATGTTTTCTGCTGCATCTGAAAATTTATTTTCAGAGAGCGGGACAACTTGGTCTTTTTTCTCCTGTTTACTAGCAAGTGTTGAAATCCTGTTCTCCATTCTCTTTCATTCTCAGACTGGTTTTGGATGCTTGTATGGAATTTATATCTCCAGTGTTCCAGTCTTGTATTTGAGAAAGAAAAAGTCCGTTGCCTAGGTTTTTCAATTCCTCCAGCGTTCATCTCTTCATTATTTCCAAATTAATATCTTTTTCTGGTGTGGTTGCTCAGTGTTTTCCTGGGCAATGACAGGCTAACATGGCTCTCTGTGTAACCTTAAGTGCCATCCGTAGGATACAAGGGTAAAGGAGTTAAACTGGCTGGGAGCCTCTGTGGTGTCTTTTCCGTTCACCGTGGTGTGGCAGCGGAATTGAGCAGACTGCAAACACTGCCAGCTCCAGCTGCCTGCATTTGAGGAGAGTCATTCTGCCTGCCATAAGGACAGGATACTGGCTTTTCAGTGAAACCTGTTGCAGGAACTGATGGCTTTTCACGTTGCAGTAAAATGATTTAAAATGCTAATTGAAGTAGGGAAGGGGATGGATTCTTCTCTAGCACTGGTATAATTAGTTTGCTGCAGATATGTATGTGGATGGCAAGAACAGGGGCTGATCTTTTCCTGTGAAGCTGAGTGATCAGATTTGTGCATTTTTATTTTTGTCCTTCTTCCCCTACCCCCGCTTTTATTTAATGTTGCCAATTTGAGATTAGGGTTCTTAAATAGATACTTGCCATGTGTGGTGCTGCATGTCGGTTGGGTGCAGAATGACTGCTGCTTGTACCTGTAAGAACTGAGAGCTTTATTGGATTGGTGAACTCAGAAGGTTTTTATATGTTTGCACTTTCATTTTTCTGGTATATTTAAAGGATTCCTAGATGAAGTTATGAAGAAATATGGCAGTTTAGTACCACTCTGTGAAAAAGATGTCATGGGAAGATTAAAAGAAGTCTTTAATGAAGATTTCTCCCATAGGTGTGTAGCAGTATCACATTGTGTACCTGGTAAAGAACAAATCACTTGCATTGCTACTGCATGCTCTGCATCTAACAACTAGCAGAACAGAATCCATTTGACATGACTTTGACTTGACTTTTCTCTACCTTTTCAATCCTGTTTTAGAAAACCTTTTATCACCAGGGAAATCATGAAGTATCGGGAAAAACATCCAAAAACCTCCACTTGCAATTTCCGGGTCTTCTATAATAAGCACATGCTAGATATGGATGATTTGGCTACACTGGAAGGCCAGAACTGGCTGAATGACCAGGTCAGAGATGCTTGGTGTTTATGTGCTTCCCTAACTCTTTTTAGCCCATTTATATTAGAATACCAGTTGTACACCTTCTGGGAACATTACAGGTGGACTATCCTTACTTTACACTAAAGTACAAGGAGTGGTGGGCAGCTTTTACAGTGACAGGTGCAGTAAGTCTGGAGGCTGGGAGTCACAATTAGACTGGTTTCCTTTTGAAGAAATGATGTTGTACTATTTTGATAAAATAGTGGTTACCCATATGGGTTTTAGTAACTTTCCTCATCCCCAGCTTGAGCAGAGCACAGGAATGACAGAGTGAAACAGCAAACTGTGGCCCACAGCCAAAAATCCAGAAAGACTGCAGAGCCCAGGGCATGCACCAGTAGATTTAAATTGAGTTAAACTGCATTTAAGATTGAGGCAGACTTCAAGCAGCCAGTTACAGTCTCTCTCCAAGATGACCACTATTAGTTGCAGAGTGCTTGTCCTTCAGACAACGTGGCTCTAAAAGCTTCTCTCCATACTGCTGGTCTAAGTGGGTAGGAGCCTATGGTTTGTGGACATTTGTGAATTTGCATTTTAAAAAATTGTGATGTGTGTGTTTAACTATTTACAAACTCTTCCAGATAATTAACATGTATGGTGAACTCGTAATGGATGCAGTCCCTGAAAAGGTGAGGTGGTTTTATTATTATGCAAATGTACCTAATGAGAGATGGAAACTTTGCAGACTTCAGACAGAGAATCAGGATTCAACTCAACGATGGCCTGAGTGATTCCATTAAAATTTGTTGCTATGCGCTGCTCAGATTTTCTGCCTTTCCTTTTCTCTTTTCAGTGCTGTTACTCTTGTTTCAGGAGCTGTGTATATTAGCTCTGCAGGTGGTCTCTGTGGTAGCCTATTGTCGCTGATGTACCTGTAGAAGACACGAGCCCTGTTTTGGCCCATCCCACTCTCTTTACTTCCCTGGAGGTTTCTGTTTTCAGCTTATCTGCTTCTGAAGTGCTATATTCATGCCTTTGCTCACCAGCCTGGTGTTTCAGCTGAAATTTCTGATGAAGATGGATTTCTGCTGAGATGACAAACCATGAGTGTTAGCATCTGAACCATGCACATGTGCTGCTTGCACTCACCCTCCCGCCCACCTCGTAGCTGTGGGGGCTGTAACAGCTCAAGCTGTGTCAGCTGCCTGCCTGGTGAATGTGAATTTGTGTGGAGCTGCTTGGTTCCTTGGCAGTACTGACTCTGTAGGACTCTGTTTTGTGCATCCTCCTCAGAATGCTTACAGCCTTGCAACTGCAGTGCCTGACTGTTGGTGGCAGTTGAGAGAAAGAAAGTAAAAAAAAGTAATCAAGATAACACCCCCTCCCCATTTTGTGACTGAATTTGCTGCAGTGACAATTAAAAAGACCCATCTGTTTACTAGTAGGGCAGAACACTTTTCAGGTGAGACCACAAAGGAAGAACCAAACAAAGCCATTTTAGATGAGCTTTGCACAATGTAACTCTTAAAATCTTCAAGCTCTGAAGAAAGAGCGTTGTTGCTTTGATTGGAGGTGATGGTGATTCTTCATTAGTATTCTCTGTATTTCCTGAGTGTGCTAGGCTTGGGGTATTGGAGATTGTATCTGTTTGCTTGTGTCTGCTTTTTCTTCCTAGTGCATAATTGAAATCCTCATGGGAGATTTTGTGCTGGTACCTCAGAATGTGGTTTTGAAGTCTGCTGGCATAGCTAATGGGTGTTAGACTGTGTTCTCAGACGCTGAATTTTCTAATTTTTTTCAAGTAACAACTCAAGCCTTCTACCACCTCTACACCAGCAGAATTATTAAAAACAGATGTTGCAGATTTCTATTTGTATTAATCTGTTCCCATAATTGTAAGAAGCTAAGCACAGGGAATAATAGTGTTAACCTGGAGCTAATTTTTTTTTTTTTTGCATAAGCCTGCATTTTTTTGTCATAAATGTCAGTTTTCACTTACCAAATGGATTGGTCATATTCTAAAAATACTTGTCAATAGCAGAATATTATTCTTGTCAGGAGCTGGTCATAAGAGCTGAATACCAAAGACAATGTTGTTGGACTAAATCGCATAACTGTTTTGATCAATTTTTTTTCTGAGTCTCAGTTTCCAGCAACTAAAGCCAGAAGTTACTCCCTTCTCCACCACCCCCGTTTTTCCAGTCCAGTGTTCTCTTCCTTGTTCCTTGTAAAGAAAACAAAAACTAACTCCTGTAAAGAAAACAAAAACTAACTCCTTGTCCTGGTGTTTTTCTCACAAGTCCGTCCCCAACAAAAAATTAAACATGATATGCCTGGAGATACAAAAATGTAAATATAAATGCTGCAGTGGCTCACATGATATATTATAGGGAAATAAGGCTTGTTTTATTAGCTTGCTGAAGAACAGTAATAGTTGAGGCTTGGCAAAGCCTCTGTTTGTCCCTACTGGGGTTCTGTTTCTAAACCTGCATTAAATATTGCCTCATTACAAGTTGTTTTGTATAAATTATCCTGGGGGAAGGGGAATGACTGTGCATGAAAATTTCTGTGCTCATTTCTCCTCTCTCTCTCTTTTTAGGTTCATTTCTTTAACAGCTTTTTTCATAGACAGCTTGTAACCAAAGGATATAATGGGGTGAAACGATGGACTAAAAAGGTACCTTTAACATGGTGTCATCAGTGCTGGGGTTCTGCTGGGCTGGGCTCAGTCACTAACTTGAAGCTGGGTTACAGTGTGTTATTTGCAAAGGATGAGTTAGCAAAGGAGCTGTACAAAGCAGGGAGGGCTTGATGAAAATAGTAGCGTGGCACTATTCAAGTTAGTACGGGTATGTTGTGCTTGGAATGGCTAAATCTTCAGTGGGAGGTTATCTCTTTGTGTATGTTCATGCAAGTTGTTAATTTAACTGCAAGAAATGTCTCTTACTGCTCCTGACAGTGCCAGGTACACTAATCTACAGGAGGGCAGACTTAATTCTGCTTCTTCCTTTTATCTCAAACTGGCATTCTTTGAGAAAATCAAATTGTTACTCCAAGTAACACATACCAGGCACTAGAAAGCAAAAAGAGACCCATGGTTAATAAGTCAGACTGTTGTTCTCATGACAAGAACAGAATTCACCTTGCTTTCCAGAACCCACACCAGATCATGGGTGTGATATTTTCAGGGGTAGCTAATGCAAAAAGAAATACTCTCTTTTTTTTTCTATTTTTTTCTATGAACATTTGTCCTTTCTAATATGGGAGATGAGGCAAGACTAATCAAAGGCCGTGTTTGAATGTATGATCTTTCTGCAGAAGTACTTAAATAGCACACATCTGTGAAATGCTAGAGATGAACTCATTATCCGAATATAAAATCTATTCATATATTTTATTAAAAATCTCTTTAAAGAGAGATGGAATATTGGTTCTTAATATTCCCATATATTATTTTTTAAACGTTCCTTTTCTCCAGCAACCCAAGTTTTGCAAAAACCCCCAAAATTAAGGTAGATTCTGGAAGCAGGATCTGTATTGTTTTTGCTGCTGAGAGGTACATGATGAGACAGGACAGTTTTTAGGTATTCACTCTTAAATTCCTGAATAATCTCTCAAGCAAGAACGAGAACTAAACAGTTTCTATGGGAAAGATTCTGTAGACTCCTTCATCCTGCAATGTGCAATTAAGGGGAATTTATTTCTGCTCTTTAAACGCACCAGAGTATTGCACCATGTTTTGTAAATGTTCTTTCCTGGGATACAGGTGTCCTGTGCTGGCTCTGGCTGCAGTGGTTTCAGAGCTCCTGTTTGTGTCTGTCCCTTCTGATCACCCATCACACTGGCACTGATCTACTGTCATGACACAGAGCTGACTCTGCTCTCTTGGTGAAGTGAATCTGGGTTGTCACCGGTCTTCCTGTACATCGGTTCATAACTAAAGACCCCACTTTTGGCTGCCTGTTTCTACTCTTCTGCTCTAGGATTGCACACCTGCAGTAATCCCACAACTAGGGCCACATGAGGACCCTTCAGTTTCGTGTGGCTCTGCTGTTGCTGGACGTCACAGAAGATGTAGTTCATTTATCTTCCTCCAGTTTTCCTTTGTGGTCTCAGCTTGCTGCTGGCTGACATCCCTCTGCTTCTCTCCAAGAATGATGGATCTGTGTGTAGTGAGTGTGCTGTAATCCAGTCAGGAAGCAGTTTCTGCAGGTGGGAGCAGGGTCGATGCTTGTCACAATCAAAGGACTGTTGTGAGCCAGGCTCGGCTGATAACTGCTGTGAATGCCCAGACCTTTTTGTCTCTTCGACTTCCTATTGTTACTTAAGAAATAGACTTTTCTTTCCTACAAAAGACCTGCCCTTGCCAGTAGTGTTGCAATTATGTACTGTTCAAATTGCACAGTGCTTAAAAAAAAACAGGAAAAAAGCTTAGAAATCTTCCCACAGGATGAGTTCATTTAGTTCAGTATTCTATTTTTGCTTATTTTCTGGACTGTGCCACCAAAACCCCAGTAATTAGACACTTTTTTCAAGAGGAGCTAGGAGAAGGAAGATCATGAAAGGCCCTGGCTTGGCTGGCTTCCAAAAGCATAAGGGCTCATCTGCCATACAGACACCGGGGGTGTTGCATCTGATCTACTTGTTCTGTACTTCAAGACCTTTTCCCTTGTTTGCTTGCCTGTGACCACAGTACATCTGCTACAAAGTTAGCTTTGAGAAAGGATGAATCTGCTCTACCTTCTAACCCTCCTTTCCTCTGCTCACCAAAGCATCCTGCACTCCTCTGCCTTCCTCTGGCAAGTCCCAGAGCCTGTGTTAGAGCAGAAATGGTTTGCAAACTGCAATCTTCCTGTTTTTGTGGGGTGTTTGTAATTACAGCTTCTTCATAGAATCATGGAATGGTTTGAGTTGGAAGATACCTTACAGATCATCCAGTCCCACCCCACTGCCATGGGCAGAGACATCTTCCACAGTCCCAGGCTGCTCCAGGCCCTGTCCAGCCTGACCTTGAACACTTCCAGGGATAGGGCAGCCACAGCTTCTCTGGGCAACCCCTGCCTATGTCTCACCACTCCAACAGGGAAGAATTTCTTCCTTACATCTAATCTAAACCTGTCCTCTGTCAGTTTAAAGCCCTTTCCTCTTGTCCTGTCCCTCCATGCCCTTGACAAAGTCCATCTCCAATTTGTTGTAGCCCTTTAGGTACTAGAAGGTGCCATAAAGTCTCTACAGGGCCTTCTCTTCTCCAGACTAGGTAGCCCCAACTCCCTCAGTCTATCTTCATAGCCTCTGAACATATTTTTGTCTTCCTTCCTCTTTCTGACATATGGGGGCCTCAGAGCTGGACACAGCACTGTAGGGCTAGTCTCCTGTGAGAGCAGTGGAAGGGCAGAATCTCCTCCCTGACTTGCTGGCCTCACTGTGATACAGCCCAGCATGCAGTTGGATTTCTGAGCTGTGAATGCACATTTCTGCATTGTGTTGAGCTTCTCATCAACATGCCCAAAGTCCATCACCTACTCACAAAGCAGCTCTGATAGAAATGAGTGGTGCTCACACCGGACAAGTGTCATTACTGAAGAGATGTAGCTAACCTAAACTGAGGCTCGATTGTATTGCCATTATTACCTAACAAATCCCACTTCAACACAGATGTTGCAGTGCAACATGAGCAGGATTTTGTCACAAATACAGTAGTGATTAGTTCTGATACTGTACAAGGTTCCTCAGCCACTTTCTGTACTGTAACTGTATTATTGTGCCTGCTAATAAGTTGTGTATTAGGTAAACATGAAGAATGTGGTGAAAGAGTGGAGGGGGCAAAATAAGATTTCAGTTATGGAGTGGCAGAGAGGAAACCTGGATACAATTAATCTCTTGCTTTGCTGTATTCTGCCTGTGGAACTCTCTCTAATATATGTTGTTCTTTTTGCCAGGTGGACTTGTTTAAAAAGACTCTCTTGTTAATTCCTATTCATCTGGAAGTCCACTGGTCCCTCATTACTGTGAACATCCCCAGTCGAATTATTTCATTTTACGATTCCCAAGGCATTCATTTTAAGTTTTGTGTAGAGGTAAGAGTGACAGCTGTGTCCGCAGAACTGTTTCCTTAAACAAAACACTCCCCCTTTGTTTCTGTTCAGCCATAAACTTTAAATGTGGTATATCTGTCATTGTCTTGCTGGGTATGAAATGAGAATCAGCCTGTCCTGCTGAGGAGTCTGAAGCACAGAGCTCGAGGGTCACACCAGAGCCAGGAGCTGAGGTCAGATTGCCTGTTGCCCAATTAGCCTGACCGTGTAATCAGCACAGCTTTGGTGACTCTGACTTGGCACTCCCACAAAAAGCAGTAGCTCAAAGCCCAGTGCCATGGGGAAGCAGAAGAACCCCAAGGAGAGTGAGGGCATTTCTTTCATCTGGTAAGGGACTTGTGTTTAGGATAAATGATAAATTGTGGTCCTTTAGGAGATAGGTTGCCTGGGTGAGAGCACAGGACTGAAGATGCTGTAGTGTTGCCCAGTGGGGTTTATGTGTTACTGTGCTATTAACAGTGTGTTGCCTTTTTCCTTGGCCTGCATTGAAACAGGGTGTTTGGTTATAACCCAGCCACCTTTCAGGGCTGCAACCTGAACACTGGAGTTAAATTATCAGTCTTCCTGATAAAGAGCAGCCAGGAAATTTTTGCTGGGCTTAGCAAATTGTAATGACCCTCTTACAAAAGCTAATTTTGTCAACTTAATTGCTTGCTTGATGCAGCAGCCCTCTACTTTTAACTGTGTGTAGTTGTTGGCTTAGAGAAGAGTAGTAATTATTGTACCCAGGAGAGTTCCCAGCTAGGACTTCTGAATGAAGATAGTATGCCTGCTGGCATTTGCTGAGGATGAGGCTAATGTTTGTCCTGGGAGCCAGAGATCTCATGCTCTCTAGCTTGTGAATGTGCAGCATGAACCAGCCATCCCTCTTGGTAGCCCTACAGTCTCTCGTGCAACCTTGCAATAAGATTTCTCCCGTCCCATTCCAGGCATTTGCACCTCAATGTCTCACAGACATGAGGAACTTTTATTTCAGCCTGTTCTAAATTTCACTGTGATCCACACACTAAGGTGAATATTTGTGTGCTGCAGCGTTTAAATTGTGCTCTAAATGCCCAGCCTGTTTACAGAGAAGTAGGATTTGCTTAACCCAAGACCATGGTCTCATTTATCTTGCTTCCTTCTCTTCGCTTGTGTCAGCCTATTTTTTTTCCTGTATGTCACTAAAACTCTCCCTGGAGCTTTGTTGATTAGCTGCAGAACTCGAGCATTTTGTATTGAGATTCCAGCAAGAAACTGCGGTCATATTGAATGTAAGGACCTTGGTGTCAGCCAGTAAGCCAGGAAAGAACACATGCCAGGCTGCTCTGTTTTTCTCTGCATATCTGGGAGCACTCTGACCTTGTGTCTGGATGCCACAGCTAGTCTGGTATGAAGTAGAGCAGTGTACAGTGTGGCTGAGGGGTGTTAGAGCTCCCCTTGATAGACTAACATGAGCCTTGATGGTAGAAGGTGCAGTACCCACCAGAGTTAATTTCTTTACCTCTAGATTTGAGCTCAGCTCCTAATGCTCACCTGAAATTTGTCCTCATTGTCAGAAGGATACCAACCAAGCAGTCAGTGTTTCTCTCCTGTTCTTTAGTGGGTGAATAATACTGCTTTTTTTCCTTTCTTCTTTGAAGAACATTCGAAAGTATTTGCTGACTGAAGCAAAAGAGAAGAATCACCCCGAGTTCCTTCAGGGTTGGCAGACTGCTGTGACAAAGGTAAATGACAGCACTTTGAGCCCTGGGCTCTGACTTTGTGGGAGATTTCATAAAGCTGCTTCTAAATTCATATATTTGTACAAGTAGTAAATGGGTTTATGCTGCCCATATATGGAAGGTGAGGGGGGAGATGAAGGTAGTTACACATGGGAATTCCAGCACTGTTGCTCATTCAACTCTCACCAGGGCTTTAGCAATTCCTGCAAGTGGCTTGGTGATCTGAGTTGTTCCCTGGACAATTAAATGTGTGCACAGCAAAACCTGCAGCTGGTATCCATACTGACACAAGGTCAAGGACTGAATGAGCTGGACACTCAGCTACTCCCCTTCTCATGAAAGGACTGTTCTGAATGGATGGGCTTTGGTGAGGGAGGGAACAGGCTGGTGTTGCTACTGTTGATATTTTATGTTTCCTATGGATAGAGGGCTTTGGTCTCCAGGGCTGCTTGTGGCACATTGTGTTTGATCACAAGTAAACAAAGTCTGGCAACAATAAAAGGGAATAACTTGTGTGTAGTGTAAATGAGGGAATATGTAATTTGCTAGCCATCCCATAATGGCTCCAAAGATATAAAACAGGTCATTGCACACTAGACATACTTCCAGCAGCTCCCTCCTTGCACCGGTTTATTTTTAGATGCTGATACAATGATGAAATGATCCCTCTCTGCACTCATGCACAACCTGTGCAGTCAGTTCATCCTCCTGCATTCTGTGAGGCAGAAGATCTGGGAGTTGAGAAAAAAACAATTACTTTGCCTTTTCAAGTGCCAGAGACATAATAGCACTAGTGATTGGGACTTTTTAGCTCTGCATATCAAAATTGAGCATGTTTGAGGAAATAATGAAGGTTGAAAGTTATCATTTGAGACTGCCTTGCTCAGCCCTGTTGCCTAGTGATGAACCATTTGTCATGTTCTCTGAAACCCTTTGGTGTGGCTGGGGGAGGAAAGCCACTGCTGGTAGCATGGATGCTGAGAGTAATCTTCCTCTAGGCCTGTGTGACTTTGCTGATATAATTTTGTCCTGTGTAAAGTAGATAATGCTGTACAAACATTTATTTAAACTAATTGAGAAGCTGTTCTGTGTAGGTCACTAAAAGAAAATAAACTTGAAAGAAAGACTTGTAATTTATTTTCCTGTTCTACACTATATATTTTTCTAAATATTAGGTGTTATTCTAACAAGGTGTTGAGTGTCACCTTGCAAAGTTTGAGATGAGAACAAGTAATTACAACTCCAGTTTCTGCTACTGCAGAACAGGTAGCTCTGAGCATGAGTTCTGATCCTTATGCTGAATCTCCTCTTGGACTTGAAGCAGGAGTTAGAGAAAGAAGGGATAAGTAAAAAGATAAGGATCTGACATATCTGTGGTTGTTTCTCTTCCTTTCAGTGCATTCCACAACAGAAAAATGACAGTGACTGTGGGGTTTTTGTGCTCCAGGTAAGAGTATTCCTTTTTAAAAATCAGTGGCCTGTATTGTTCATGTAGTAAATGTCCTTTTTTCAACTAAGCCTTTTCCTTTTCCCCAGTACTGCAAGTGCCTCGCCTTAGACCAGCCTTTTCAGTTCTCCCAGGAAGATATGCCCCGAGTGAGAAAAAGGATTTACAAGGAGCTGTGTGAACGCCAGCTAATAGACTAATAAAATGCAGCCAACCTAATTTCTCTGGCATTTCTGACAAGTTGCAGCTGGTGTTTGTGTACTTGAATTTCTGAAAATTTCCATAAATTTTGAGCGTTTCTCAGCTGAGTGGTGTGGCCACTGTTGTTACCTCAATCTTCTGCAAAGTTCTTTAATTGGCAGAATATAACAGAGCTGCCATAGACTATTCCTAATGTCAGTTTGGTTCTCTTATGTTCTTTCCTGTATTTAATATTTATTATTTCAGCATGCATATAGGCAAAGCATGCAACTAAAACCATGAAATGGTAGATTTGGGGCACCTTTGAGGTGTAGCTAGAAATGACAAATACAGGTGAATTTGTCGGGAAAAATAAAGATGCATGATATGTTTTCTGATGCAATAATGCTTTGAATGTATCAAAAAAAAATCAATGCCATAAAAAGAACAGCTAGAACCTATTTGATAGTTCCATTGTCCCTGTTGTGGCTGTGTAATACTGAATACCACATTTTACACATTTTTAGGGTGACTAAATTCATCTACAGTTTTAATTTGTGAAGATCCCTTTTTCAAATAGTTCAAGATGCTAATAAAATTTGTTCTGTTAGCATTTCTCTGGCTGTCATTATCAGCCTGTCTATAGATAAAAAGCAGCCTTTGCACAAATAAAGCTTCAGCATTTGTCTGTATAATAGAAAGTACAGAAGTGTTCAGTCAGTCGGATGGTAAGTTCCTAGATGCTGCAGAAGTCTCCATGATGTGTGTATTAAGGAGAATTATAAAGCTGGCCTTGAAGAGTCACAGCTTAGATCGTAAGATAAACTCCTTGGCTGTAACTGTTTACATCTCAGATGGCTTTGAGTCATTTCTCAGATCCACAATATGCAGTGAAAATGTACCATTTCTCCCTTCAGCTCTGTCTTCAAAGATTGTTGTCTTTAACCTTCCGTTGGCTTTTGCTTTTGTTCAAATGTAAATTAATTCATTTCTGCTGCATCTGCTGTTTGATTGTCTCCAACATCCCTGGTTTTGTCTGCGTTCAGTAGCACGATGGGTCTGGTTGGGAGTTCCAGCACTTGTGGTGGGTGCAGTACAAACACAGCAAGGTGATGTCATCCTGCTCCAGAGGGGTAGGAGCCCTCAAGCCCAGCCCTGAACTTTGCAGGGTTGTTGTGCTGGGCAAAGGATGAGGGAGAGCAGTGGATCTGCTGGGCTTTCACCTTGGTCTGTAAACTGTGATGTGCTCCTTGCTGAAGGGAGCTACTTCTGTTTGAAGAGATTGTTGTCTGGCACTGCTACACCGGCAAATGTCTTTGCTGTGTTTTTCTGCCAGATACAGGAATGAGCCCAGAGGAAAAGTATTTTCATTGCTTAACATCATCTGCTGCACAGCTTCACTTTTTGTCTGTCCGTAGCCCTGGCTTCTGATGGAGGAAAACCACTTTGACTTCCCTGTCTTGCAAATTAATTCAAACTTGAGCTAAGCCAGGTGCAAATCCCTCCTAGATGATGGGAGGGAGAAGGGAGAGAGTGCCAAGCACAGTCAGGCCAGGAAGTGGAAGCACGTGCACACTGTGCTCTGCTGGAGAAGGAGTTCCTGCAGTATCCTTGCATGTTCCCACTTCCCCTTGTTGGCAGCTGGCAAGGACTGGCTTAATTTAGCAAGATAAGGAAAGCCTTAAGCACTTGGTTAGATAATTTAAACAAGGAACTTAATGAATCAGAAAGAACCTAAAATCCAGACAAGCAAGATACATCTGCCCATTGTATGGTGCAGAGCGCCCCACAGCACAGGGTTTATTTGTGTTTCCCTGAGGTGTAACTGACAGGACAGCAGCACCTTCTTGAGGTGTGTGCTTGTGAGCAGTGGAGGGTGACTTCCATGAAAACTGAAACTTGAGATGTAGTTTCTCCTGTGCGGTAGCACATATAAGCCAGTGCTGCCATTCTCATCTTCTCTGTGCACTGGTGTCACAGGAATGATTCCAATGCTTATGTGGTGGGACAACTGATCCAGGCCACAACTAACCCAGAGGACAGTTCTTACCTCAGTATAATTTGCTACTCAGTGTATATCCTGGCATGAAGGAATACACAGGATTGGGTGGCCAGGAAGAGATGTGGAGGTGGTGCCACTTTGGGTGCATTGCAAGTGAGGCTTTATTTTCAAGACTGTCAGAAAGGGAGTGGAACAAAAAGAAAACTGCATGAGCAAATTGCTTTTATTTTCAGAACTTGAGCAATTTGGTAAGGAAGCTTGAAAGGTGTCCTGTGAGACTACCAGCCTGGGAAGCTCAATGCCTCAAAGAAAAACCCTTATTTTTTTGCAACTTGCGTTGTCTTGTTGAAAGATATTTTTCATTGCATGGGAATGTGCTGGAACATTGCACTACAGACAGTTGTTTCCTGAGGCTTGATGCCTACTACTGGTTGGTAGGATCCATCTTGCTCTATATGAGAGATCGTGAGGAGTCTTTAATCACAATCCCCTTATCAGCAGCATCAGCCAAAGTGCGGGATTTCTGTGAACTGTGTGTTGAACATGGGTGCTTTGAAGCAAGTGCATGTGTGTCCCAGATCGTTTGAGGGGAGGGGGCTTGCACTTGAATCTGCTGCCTTGTGAACTGGGGAACAGGGTGGGGAAACATGCATGTTGGAAAGTACTTCTTATGTGCTTTCTTGTCATCTAGAGGTTTCCTGACAAGTGTTCCAGTTGGTTATGGGGCAGCACAGAGGAGTTGCACTTGAGTCTCCAGCTGTGAACACACCAGTGAGGGGCCTCTGAAAAAAAAAAAAAGAAGGGGAAATTGAAAACAGATCTAATGTAAGCAAAGTATGTTGGTGCAGTGTTGAAATTAATCACAGGCAGTCGGAATCTCAGGCTCTGTAATGGTGTATCCTGTGAAACTGGACTAATTAACTCCTCCTTGAGAATGTCTTTGATGCCTTAAAGGAGATGGACTTCATAATCTGTAGTCATTTTACTAGTTCTTAAAACATTCAGAACTATGTAGAGTGTTTTTATTATGAGAGGCACATTTATGTGGATGTAGTTATGGCTGTTAGCAATTCCATTAATGTGATCTTCAGATTTTCATAAATCACTCTGAACTGGTTTGGCAGATGCTTAAATTTCACGACTTGTTCCAAAGAGATTGTCTCGCTGTGCTGATTTATACAAATAGTCCCAGAACTGGTGAAGCCTCTGCCTTGTGCGTGACAAATTTAAGCTACCTGAGTTGTAATAAACCTTAAACAGAATTGAAAATGAATTATCAGTTTCCATTTCATTTGCTTTAATCTATAGTTTTAAATGACTGTGCCCCTGATACAAATCAATAAATGCAGAGTGTGGCCTTGATTCTGCAAGGGGAGTGGAGAGATGCCTATTGCTGAGCTGCTGGTACTTGCAGAATGGAGGCTGGACCTTTGTGTTGTCTTATATGCAGTTGTTCTGTTCTTACCTGACTCTCCTGAGTGTGAAGGTGATATTTTGAATATTTCACATGCACTGATCACTGAGCCAGACAGGCTTACACCGAGCTGCTGGCTTGTGTTGAATCTCCAGTGTAATGCTTAAACTACTTTACTTTCTCTGAGTTTTGATTGGCGTTATCTACTTGTAGCATTTACTCAATTCAGTGTGAAAATTTAAACCTTGGGAAGTGCTGCAGAGTTAACTCCGCTGAGCAATGACTCCGCTGTGGGTGTGCTCTTGCATTGAATGAAGCCCATGTTCCTGTGAAGTAATAAAATTGAGTTTTACTATAAACCTTATTTTCTTTCAGCTGTTTGGTTTCACTTTAATTTTAAAAGCAACCGATGTGATATTTGAGGGAATGTTTGTAGCAGCTTGTTTTGGGATGTGTTATTAGGAGAAGCCTCTCCAGTTGATTAGTTCAGTAACTCTGAGCTGAGTCTAATGATGCTCTCTGTCTCACAGTGATGTAACTTACTGTGGTTTAAGTTCTGACAACATACAAGATTGGAGATGTCACCCATTGCATAAATAAGGGTGGAAATCTTGCATTAGACACTTTCTTCTAAGGTGGCATTTAAAAAACACAAATCTGTCAACAGAGCATGTAGGACTTAAATTGCTTTTCTAGATCAAAATACACTAATGCCCTTCTTGTATTACTTGTGGATTTAGCTGTGTAACTATAGAGTTAAATCTTGTCTTTGCCACATGTTACAAAGCTATACAGCTTGTGAATTTGTGATAATGGTGAGAATGAAGGCTTAGCAAATGTCTCTTTAAGCTATTAATCATGAGGCTGGCAACATCATTGTCTTTATTACATTCATAATTTAAAAATCCTATCATGGAGGAGGAAACATGGATGCTTGTTAAATATATTCTTCAGTGCAAAGTACTAAGAAATCAGATCATTAAAGTACAGAATCATAAGAGACACTAAAGCCTTGCCAGGAACAATAATTACTATTTATATGTAATAGGCACTGGGAGGAAAAAGATGAGTCTGGTTTGCTTATGCCTGAACTTAATGGGTTTTATGAGTAACCAGCTAGAAGGATTTGGGGATTGAATTTCATTTCAGAGTATGTAATATTACAAACTACAGAGCTAAAAACTGTTCTAAATGGAGTGAAATATCTTGAGAAATCAACTGGTTAGTTTTCTCTCAACACAAGTAAGCAGAACATGTGCGAAGCAGCTCCAGCTCCTGCCTGAAATTCTGATGGGTTCTTAATTCTTGGGTTTAATTTCAGCATTGCTGGTAACTCATCTCCGCTAACCTGGTACTTTGAGGTTCCAGACCTTACCTAAACACTGAGGTTACCCGAGGCTCTTTACAGGCAACTTTGGGAAGTGACTGAGAGGAGGAGGGATAAAAGAAGGGGTTGGAGAATCTGTTTGCACCACCCTGTGATAAATGTTTTGTGGGAGGAAGGACAGGGGAGAAACTGAGCTTTAAAAAAGATGTATTTAACTGGATAATGTGGGTCAGGTCATGTTTATGGTACGTATTGAGCTTGATGCAGACAAGGAGCCATCTTGTTTATGGAAACCTTTGAGATGAGTGGGAGAGAAATGTGGGAAGAGATGCCTTCTGCAGGGATCATTGCTCTGCACAAAGGGACACTGTCTTGCTTCAAGCCTGTGCATTTTATATCAACTTAATGCAGGCAGCAACTGCAGCAAAGGAAGAAATTCCCTCTGCAGTGTTCAGCTGAACATTACATTTGTTTAGGGCAGTTGGAGCTTGACAATTTATCCTCAGCATCTCTTGACAGCTCCAGCCCATTGAAGAGCTGGCAGGCATTGCTGCTCCAGGCAGACATGGGGCTGCTGCAAGGGAAGGCCTCACAAAGGCTCACCTTTCAGGTCTGCCTTCTTTGGGGTTTCAGGTTTGAGGAGGTTAGTGGGTTTTGTTTTGTTTTTAAAGAAGTCTGAAGTACAGAGAGTTTTAGGGTAGTTCTTCAGTTAATATATTCCCTTTTCATTCAGGAAACTTGGCTCAGGAGGTCTGTTCTCAGTTTTGCATACTGAACTGCTTCTGTTTCACTATTAATGGGCAGAAAAGAGTCTTCAGGGCAGAATTTTTGGCAGAATTTTGGGTTTTGTCTTCTGGTGAATGGCTCTTCAGGTGAATGGATTTTTTCCTTTTGAACAAGAATATAGCTAAAATATTCTTAAGTAATGAAATGTAGTGCCTTGAATTAATGGACACTTGAGATTCTTGTAAGCAATTGTTTGTCCCCAGATGGGATGTCCTAGTCTTTAGAAGGCATTGGGAAGTATTTTAAGGGGATCAGTGCTGTTTAGAAAACAGGGAGCATAAAGGTCCAGCTCCCAAATTCACTCTTTGAACATTTTACCATAACGAACATCAGAAGCAGAGCATTTAAGTCCTGGTGCAGTTCTTAGCTGGGCTGTAGCTCATGGCCTTTCCTGGGGCTGTGGGGAGATCCCTGGGAGCAGCCTGAGTCAGATGGATCTTCCCAGGGTACTCTTTGGCCACCAGATGTCACGCAAGGACCACCAGACCAGCGTGTGCTGCTGTGCTCCAGCTCCCAGCTCGTGGGTTGACCAAGCCATGGTTGTCTCCTGGTTGCGTGTCACTGCCACGTCGGTGGTTGTCTTCTCACATGTTCCTCAGCAATGTCTGCACTGCACTTGCAGAAAGAATGTGTGTGTTAAACCAACCCCCCACCACCACCTTCCACCCACCATCAAATCCACTGAAAATCCCTCTGTATCAAACATGTAAGTGTTTGGCTCCAATGTGATTACTCCAGAGTCCCATCAATTTTACAAATTGGCCGAAACATTTTTTGGTAGAGAAGCCTTGCATACCAGAGGTCTTTACTCTGATCAAACTGCTGCCCTACCATAGATCATGACTGTTATTTTTATAACTCTGTATTACCGTGGCAAATGCTGGGAGGGGGGAGAAACCACATCAGTAGCAACTTCTGTCTGATTTGTGGTCATATGCTTATAACTTGACATGGTCTTGCAAATAACTAAACAAAACCAGGAATTCCTTTAGGGAGAGGAAAAACCCTACCCAAAACTCCAAAAAACGGCTGCATCAGATATCTTGTGTGAAGCGTCTGAATTGCTCACAATTTGGATCTCTTAATGGAAAATGGTTCAGAACAGGAATGGGAACTGGTTGCCCTCTGTTAGTGAGTTGGGGCTGTGCTGTGGCTGTCAACCACTGCCATACACTGACAGCCTCCTGGCCGTGCATTTTCTTGAATTTTTATTTAATTGCTGGTGTCTGCTCAGGCTTTATCCTAAATTTAGTAACATTCAGTGCTCACTTTTCTCTGCAATACCTTTATAAATTCTCATATAATCTGATGTCTAATTTTAAAGCCATCTGTCATTTTTGAGCTATATATTTTCCAGCTTTGAAAGGTCTTATTGAAGGAAAATTTAAATTCATGGCCTACTGAAAATGCATTTTTCTTTAAATTATTCATTGATAAAATGTCTTTGAACTTGTGTTTGTGTAGCTGGTGGGTTAGGGGCAGATCTTGGGTTTCCTGGGTGGTCCTTGCACAGATGCCCTATCCAGTGCACTGCTCACCCCACAGCAGCAGTGGGGCTTGCTGCATCGACATCTCACCCAGGGACCAACCTTCAGAGATGTGTCCCCTGTCTGTCACACGCCATCCTGTTCACTAGGTGGCATTGCTTCCCAGTCTAAAAGCTTCTAAATAGTTCATTAATTATGCTAATCCCCGTGGTGGATGGAAAGTGAACTGCACTGCCATGGCTTCACCCTTGTGTCCTTTTTATTCTGCTTTGCTGATGGGATTTCTCGGGTTGAGTGACCTGCAGCATACTCATCCCAGTTGTTGAAGTTCTGGGTCCAGGGAAAGCTTTGGCTTGGAAAACTTGAGCCAGCCTGTTGGTAGCCAGCTCTGTGGTGCCAAGTCCACCAAAGTCATCATTCTCCTCAAGTTATTGACTTGGATTTTCACTTTTAATAGAAAATGTCAGTGTACTTGCTGGAGCAGTGATGGTGAAGCCTTGCCTCTCCTAGAGTGGGAGTAAAGTGTGCTGATGTGGGAATCCTTTCTGAGATGACACCAATCACGGGGGCAGTAGGAGAGCAGGGTGCTCTGGAGGATAGTGAGCAGCTACTCATCACTTGGGTATTTGAGGGAGATTTGCTCATCTCTTTTCTATGTAGCCCTGTTATTTTATTTTATATTCTTATATCTTCCTCCTTTCCTTACTCTAAGTCTTAATTAAGGGCTGAAACACAGTAGATTCATGAATCCTCACTGTTGCCAATGGGAATTAATTGCAGCCTTTTGTAAGCTTTAAAATGAGATAAATTTTGCTTTTACAGGCTCGTTTTAATAGCAGAAGTACTTGGTTTGTCCGTGGGACACATCAGGAAGGCAAGGTGCCAAGGTGGCAAGGTCTCTGTGAGGTGCAGCTCTCACCTCAGTAGGTGTCAGGTCCTGGGTGTGTGAAATCACTGGAATCTCAGCTGAGAGGCTGAGAATGACCAAACCCCCTGGAGGCAACTGATGGAGCTGAGAGCAGGGTGCTGCCCCTTGAGGGAGGGGATTCCTACCCTTTCCCACTGAATTCCAACAGTGCTTCCCAGCCTGCAATATTGATGCCCCTTTCCCTTTGCAAACCGTGGAGGTGCCACATCCCAGTTAAGATCTGCAGAAGCAGCTCTGTCCTGAGCTGGTCAGGACAGGCGAGTCCCACGCTGGGCTCAAGAACATCCCTGCTTTGCTCTCATGAAAGGACAAGACAAAGTAGTTTTTGAACAAGACTTTTAATGAACAAGCAAGATAAAAATAAATGTAAATTGAAGATCCTGTTTCTCATGTGTATTTTATTAAAGACTACAGAGTTGTTCATTCTTGCTGTGTAGTATAATTGCTAAAACATGATTTGTAACCAAATATAGCTGCTTGCATTAAAAATGGCACTACTTCTTACTAGGGAGGATGATATGGTAAAGGAATGCTCATTTAAACAATTACATAGTTCAGTTTTTGTATTCAAAACCTCAGCTTTTTCACTTTTTTAAAAGTGAACATAACCTTGAGATGGTTTTTAGCTTGAATTTTGTTGGACTGCATTTGGATGAAGAATGGTATGCAATTAAAATAAACAATATACTTTTAAAACTGGTTATATACAGAAATTAAACTTGTCAAACCATGTTTTGCATTTTGCAGTGATTGAGTACAAGATAATGAATGTGACAGATTCTGGTCACAACAGGACAATGCCTTTCATCGTCCAGGGCCTCTGTAGCCATGGAAAGCATTTCCAGAAGCCATTTACGAGAGAGCAAGGGCTTACATTTACTAATTTACCTACAGCTTTTTGAAATGGTTTGTGTGGCTTTTTTCCTCTGAAATTCTAGAATTTCTGACTCTCGCCCTTCCATTGTGGGTTCAGATTTGGCCGGTGAGCAAGGATGGGAAGATTGATTCCCTGTTTCCCAGTTCCATCTGAGCTGGGCTGGGTGAAGATCACCTTGCCCTACACTTGGTAGCTGCACTGGAAACTGGTGGCATGAGGAGATGAGCTTCCTGTGTGACAAAATGTGCAGATCTTTACACTGTAGGAAATAAAAAATCCTTTGTTCCAGTCTTAAGATTGATGCGGTATTCCAGTGTGGGACCCAGTGCACTTAAGTAACCAAAGGGTAACCAAAGGGTTTTGTGTCTTCTGAAGGCAGGGATGCTCCTGAGTTTGTAACCTGCTAGAACTCCCACATCCGTCACCTGAAGTTGGCCTTTCTAAAATACCTGGTTGTTGATGATGTGGGAGCAGACAGTCGAGGCTGTACTATACAAGGCTGGGATCCTGAGGCATCCTCATTTCTCTCTTGCTCTCAAAAGGTTTAAATATTTGCTGGCTCCAGCTCAGTGTTGACTGGAAAGGGAAAGTGTTGTGGCAGTCCTGGTGTGCAGGAAAAAGCCTTTTCAAACCTCCTCTCTGCTGTTTCCCAGGGAATTCAAGAGCCAGTTGTATATCCACACCTTTCATTCCTAAGTACCCCTCTTGTGACAGTCAGATACAAACTATTTCAGAGATGTCTTTAAAAATCAATAGTCCTGTTAAAAAAGTAAACCACTTCCCTCTCATTTGAGATGAAGTCTCCAAGAGCCTGTGGCTGTCTCTGGGGAGGATCATCAAAAACATCCTCAGCCTCACTCCCATGCCAGAGTTTTCATCTGGAGGAAAAGAACAATTACATTTAATTTGAAATGCTCTTAGGAGATGATAACTTTTTTTAGAATTAGAATTAAAATCAGGATTTTTTTAGACTTGATGGGAAGTTTTGGATACTTCCAACCTTATCTTAACAAAAACATTGATTTTTGGTTAGATGTCTCCAAAGTCACACTTCTGAAAGCTCATTCAACAGAATGCTTAAAGGTTTTATTTCTATCCCAAAGGTGAAAGAAAACAACTCCAAAATGTCAGAAATGCTGTTACCTGATGAGCTCTGTTTTTTGTAAGGTCAAGAAAAAATGATGGATACAGTAACAAGTGTTTCTACTGTTGCCTTTTAAAATATATATGTGATGCTCAAGTTCATAAGTGAAGTGTGTGCCTTTCAGAAGCTAAAAAATAGCAGTGTAAAGCCAAAGTCCTTGGTCTGTCCCTCCTTGTTTCTCCTGAAATCGATTTTTGTTTTAAGTTCTTCTGGTGTAAATAATTTTAATGAAAAGGAGAAAATTGCTAGGTGGAGTTTATCATCTGGAATATATAGGCTTAGATGGTTTTTTGAAATACAGAAGACAGGTGAGGATAGCTCTGAATGCCCTGGAGAAATAGTGCCCAACCCTTTAAAAAGAAAATAATAATTAAAAAAAAAAAGTTGTTATCTTTCAGTAGACTGACCTGGTGCTATTCTGTGTGAATTAAAGGGTTGGGGCTGTGGGTGCAGCCCTGGCACAGCCAGGGTGTCCCTGGGAATGTGATGGAGCTGCTCCTGTGCCTTGGACACGTTGCAGGGCCAGACCCCTTCCCTTTCTCACAGCTCTTGAAGCAGAGGCAAGAGCAGCTGAGGACCCTCATCCTCCCCACTACATTTTCTTGAAACTGTGACCCAAGAGATGGGGGGTGTTTATGGAGGGCAGCAGGGAAAAAGGAGATTTGAGCAAGGTCATGATCCATCCCACGGTGGATCCATGTGATCCATGATCACACTTGCTCTGTGCTCCTCATTTCTTCCTTTTATCCAGCTCTGATAAACACATACCAGTTTGAAGGAAAAGGAGAGAGGAGAGGAAACACTTGAGGTAGGAAGGGACCACCTGGGTCCCTGCCCATCTCCTTCCCAGGAGAGGTTTGCCTGCAGGAACACGTGTCTGCAGAGTTTTGTGCTCTCAAAACCTCTGTGCCTTTGGTCTTTACTGCTGGGAGGTCCTCTGAGGCGTTGGTTCGAAATTCAGCTCGTGTCTCTTGTCCCATTCCCCCACACCTTTATCAGGGTCCCGTAGAGCATCCTCCCTCTCCTGTGGCAGGAGGGGGCTGGTCCCAGCTCTCAGCCCTGGTCGTTTTCCCAAACACCTGAATTCCCCTGCCCTGATCCTGTCCCTGATCACCTCCGTGTGGTTTTGTCACCGGGGCTGTGCTGATGAGCCTTTTCCTGTCCTGCCTGTGCCTCTGCCATCAGCAGTGACCGTCCCCAGGGCATCACGGCAGGGAGCAGGAACCTCTTTGCTGACACCAGCGGGCGTTCGAGGGGGTCCGTAATGCTTTGCAGACAATTTTCTCTCTGTTATTGTTTTAAACTCCATGTTAGCCATTCCTGCTTCCCAGGTTTCCGCATGTTTCAAATTATTTTCCCCAGAGGCATCGACAGCATTTTTCCAAATTGAATCTCATTTATTTTCTACCCAGGTTTCCAATCTCTCTGGGGCCCTTTGTATTATTTCTCAGTCCACACTGCCATGTACAATATATCCTAATTTAGTATCATCTGTGAATTATATTACCATGCCCTTTAGTTCTTCTTCTATTTAATGAAGATATTTCCAAGAAAAAAAAATCTAAACTACATTTTATTAAAATAAGAAGGTAGAGTCTTAAAAACTCCTTTGTGGGTTTCCAATATGAATTCTAAATCTTTTTCAAAGGAATCTTCAGCGTTTTAAAGAGAAATTAAAATCTTCTAAATACCAAAGTTCGTAGGTGTAAAAATTAATCAGTTTTTCAATTAGCTGAGACCTCTGTCCCTGTGTAGCGAGCTCTGCATAGTGCACTTTCCCTGACACAGACACCATCTATGTACTTGCAGCAGATTTTTTTTTAAACCAGCACCAAACATATGTTTCAATTCCTCCATAAATTTGTTCCCTTTCCCTTCCTGACCTTTTCAGGTTTGCTCTATGTGGCTGTTCTAGCAAACATGTACACCGTCAGGAACGGTGCTGAAGCAGCATATTTTAATGCAAACTATGCAGGCTTATTCATAGGAAGTGATTTTTAAATTCAGAATCATGAATATTTGCACTGTAAGGTTGATTCTGTTGTAGCTTTTTATTTATAAGAGAAGAAGTGCTGCCTGTTGGTGCCTGGCTGGGAGAGCACCAGGCCCCTGTTGTGGGGAATGCACCGAGCTATGGGAGCTGCGTGTCCTATAACACAGCTCAGATTTCCAGCCCTGGATAGGGAAATAGCACTGGCAGCAGACAGTTTGCTGGAGATTCATATCCGAAAATATTTGCTGCATTATTTCTAGCAATGGGCAATTTCATGAAGACTATGATCTGCTTGTGAAGAGAAATAAGATGTAAATTGGATTAATAAATTGTTCTCTGCAAACAGTTTGCTGGCTCCAGAGGGCTTTTCTCTTTGAGAAGTGCTGAGGTCTTCAGTCCTCTGTGGATTGGGGGTTTGACCCTGCATGCAAACCAGTGCTGGGGGAGGCTTCTGAAACACCTCAAGCTTTGGCATGTTCTGGCTGTACTGACCCATCCTGCTCTCCGGGGACTTTCCCCCCTCAGCTGGACATCACCATGCTGAGCAGGGCTACGGATGCTGCTGGAAAAATTCGTGCTGTTTTATCCTGGAGAAGGTGTGGGCTGATTGGGGTGGGTAATGCTGTGTTTCCCCTGCCCTAGGGAGTAAGGAGGGCTGGTGCTTGGAGCTTGGCTGTCGGTGCACGGGCTGAGCTGCTCGTGTCTCCCTGTCTCCTTTGGGTTGCTGGGTTTTTTTGTACTTTAAAATGAGCCTTTTTTACTCTGCAGGTGTAGGGACTTCCCCAGGGATGAGGAATCCCCGGTCTCCGGGGCTGTGGCACCGACATTCCTGCCACCACCGAGGGGGATGCTCCGGGTGGAGCCGCCGGCTCGCTGCCATGCAGCAGCTGTAGGAAATTAGAGGAGCCTTGGGGCTATTCTGGGAAACACTGAGGGAGATTCCCGAGGTTTCCAGAGCAGAAAACTGGCTCAGAACTGCCTGCCTCCATGCCAGGCAGGGATGATGTAGAGCTGGGCGCGGAGCCCCGCAGAGAAGGATGTTTGATTGACAAATCAATGGGATCCTGCAGGAGCGATGCAGAGTCAGGAACTACCAAGAGGGATACTGGAGGGCCTGGCCCTGTGCTTGGGTGCTCACTGGGCTCCAGCTGAGATCCACATCCCTGTATGGCACAGCAGGCTGGCTCAGGACAGCTGGCATGCCCTCCCATGGCTCTGTGTGTATGGCTGATATGGGACAGGGAGTTTAGGATGTCACATGCCTGTTCCCTGGGTCAGAGAGAAGATGCTTGTTGCATTACCTTGAGGGGTTCAAAGGCAGTAAAAGCAAAATCTTGCTCTGTTCACCATCCCTTTGTGGAAACTTCAGCCCTCAGGACTTTTTCATCTCTGATTCTGTCTCTTGCCTGTGGAGAGGTGCCCAGCTTTAGAAAGTACAGCTCACCTTGTGGACAGGGACATGGTGCCCTCTGATTTCACCTGAGCAGATGACAGCACAATTGCTCATCCCTCATGCCAATCCCATGAAGCAAAAACCTTGCCAAAAGAGGGACTGAAAGCCATGTGTGCAGTGCTGATGTTTGCACTGTGTCTTCCACATGAGCACATAGGGTTGTGGAAAACACTGGGTCCAGACACCTCCTTGGTAACTTCAGGTCTGGTGAAGCTGTGCTTCCTTAGCTCTACATGAAAGCCACCTTTTGTTTCCAAAGTCAGCTTTCCTTTAAGTCCTGGTCATGATAGGAAGCTCCAGCTCAGTGGGCAGCATTGTGTTACTCTAGCAAGTGTTTAAGACAGTGGCATGTCCTTGGGGACAGTGGTGCCTTTATCCCAGGGGACACACCCAGGCCTGTGCACCCCTCTGTGCCATAGGCCAAATACCAACTTCTCTGACCGACCACCCCTCCTCCCCTTTATCAATAATTTTAATCGTTTTAATAATGTCCCCTCGCACGGATAGGATTACGATTAGAAAATGTCAGAGCCTTGTTATCATCTAATTAGAGTCACATTTCAGCAGAATAGAAGGGAAAATCTTCAAGTGCTGCCTTGTGCAGTGAAATGGGAAGAAAGTGCTGATTTAAACCAGCTGCAGGCTGGGCCCGGCTGCAGTCCCGGCTGGGATGCAGGGCATGGTGCAGGACATGGCAATGGGCCCTGGTCAGAGCCCTCTGTGCAATCAGTGCAAACTGCTCCCAAATCACTTTCGCAAAGCGAAAAACTCCGGCACAGTCCAGTAAAAACAATCAGGCTGTCAAGTTTGCCGGCTAACAGCTGAGGGGGTCAGAGCAGCAACACAACACAAACCAAAATAAACACCACCTCACTCTGCCAAAAAGCCTTTATCACTCTTTTGGGAGAGAGGGAGGCACTTTCAGATGGCTTTAACTTTTCCCTTTTTTTGGTTGTTTGTTTTTGTATGCTTAAATGTGAGCTGAGAGTTAGGATCTCTTTCCGCCCTTCCCCTAATGCCATTATGGCAGGCCGAGGTACTCTTAGGAGAGCCTCTTTGTTTGCCTTTTGCAGGAGGAGTTTGGAAAGGCAGAGGGGAGAGTGGATGTGCTTAACCCCTTGGAAGCTGCTGGGGTTTGCTTTGGCTGAGCTCATCCTGGGGCCTTTGCTGCACAGCATCCCATTGAGGGGGGGAGTTCATGGCTACAGTGAGGACCAGGGCTCTGCCATGATGCTGGAGTATCCATGTCTATGAGGGATTTGCAGTGGCACCATGCCTGGTGAAGGGGAGTCTCGACTCCTCCAGGCCTGCAGACCCCGAGGGCTGCAGCAATGCACGTGTGATACTGTGCAACGTTAGGGCACAAATAAGCATTCACATGGCTGCAGAGAGAGTGATGCATGCCCTGGCTCCTCAGACCCTCCATGCAGAGCCCCTTTGGCTGCCCAGGAAGCTCATGTCTGGTAGCTGAGCAGGGGAGCCAGCAGGGAGCTGTAAAAGCCAAACCTTCTGCAGCTGCTGGAGATTGGGGTTCTGCTGTGATCCCAGTGGGACAAGCAGAACTGGCTGCGCTTGGCCAGATCACAGGGTGGGGGGACAAAAACGGAACATTTCTGTCAAAAGAAATGGCTGCTTATGCCTTACCCCACACTGTAGGAATAGAACTACAGATTCATAGAATGTAGGCTGGAAAGGACCTCCAAGTTCATCAAGCCCAAGCAAACCCAAGGGATGCACCCCTTGCAGCCACATTAGAGTGCTTTGCTCTGGGGAAGCAGATGCTTGTTTCCCCATGGGTTTAGCAACATGAATGCCTCCAAGGGTCTGGGCTTAACCACCCTGGGCCAAAACATCTTCCCCCTGCTGAAGGAGCAGGAGGATGGTGGCCACCTGCTGTTGTGATGCTTGCCTGAGGCTGGCCCACCTTACACCCGCATTTTGTGCTGGGAACACCTGCTGTGCAGAGGGGGCTGGACCCCATCACTGACCAGCCCCACATAATAAATAGCCACAGTAAAAATAGCCATCACTTAAATAGCACTTTACATCCTCAGGATAGTATAAAACCCCAACTGCTTAATCACAAACTGCTCTCTTGATGTTTAGAGTGAACCGATATTTTTGGTCTCGGAGGAGAATGTATTTTCTGGAGCCAAAAGCTACAGTGGGCTGTGTCAGCAGCTCCACTGGGTGCAGGACAGGGCCACAGCAGAGGCAATTAAAGCTCAGGTGTTACACCAGCACATTGGAGTGACCCAGCCCCTGGCAGGGACTGGTTCTGAGCCAGCAACCAGCACTGAGCCCTGCCTTCCCCTGCCACTGCACTGCGGCCGCCTACAAAACTCCTGACATTTTGGGATTTGCTATATTTAAACGGGCAGACAGTTTAGCCCTGGCCAGGAACCCATCTCTGACAGTGATGGCTATTGAGAGTGGCACTGGGCTGCCCCCGCTGTGCCGGGGGCCAGCAGTGCCATTTCTGCCAGGCAGAGCTCCCCCTTCCCAATTAGGGGTGCTGCTAATTTTAAACGAGCTGCTGCCACCAAGTAGGACCACTTAAAATATCATCCAGCCAAAGTGCCTGTGGTGAGAGCCGAGGGTTGAGTGTGAAGTGGAATTTCTGGTCCCTGATATTTCAGGGCAGGGAGAGCTGTACCCCTCTGCCTGCTGGAATGGGCAGGTTTGGGAGAGGAGGATTTTCTATGGATCAGTGTTTTCCAGAGCTTGGGGAGGGAGAGGGAGGTTTCTTTAATAAAAGTGAAAAAAACAGCTCTGATTTCATTTTAAAACTTGCAAAAACGTTTAATTTGACCTGATGTAAAGTGTTGCATTTCATTTTGCATTTTAATTAATTTTGTGATCTTCTAATTAGACTAATTTCAAAGAAAAAAAGTATTTCTCTCAAAACTGGAAGTCGGAAGATTTTGAAGATCATTTCTGCCTCTGAAATGCTGCTTAAAAGCGTTAGAGATTCTTTCTAGAAACCCAGGTTAATTCCTGCCTTTAAAGAGTTTATGAATGTCGTGGGAGTTAAACCTAAGAAGTGCTTTTAAAAAGGACCCTTGTTCCTCAGAAAGTAAGCACTGCTGCCTGTGATCCTGGGATGAAAGGGGAGAGGGTCTCTTCTCAGACCTTTCCTACTCCTGAAAAATTTCAGGGTACTTGTGGGTATAGGAAGAGCTGGAGCTCATCACTGGCAAAGGGCCTCACGACTTTAGGAAACTCCAGCAATGGCAAAATTTCACACTGCCCGAATCACTGCCCATAAAGGAACACAGCAAAGGACCCAGGATGGAGCCTCTTGGGATATTTCCCATTGAAGAGGCTTTTGTTCCCCCATGTTTTTTAGCTGCTGCAGTGGGCAGTTGATGATGAGTCCACCTGGAGAGCCTTTGGCTCAGTAGCCAGAGGGCTGAGCCTCCACCAGTTCCAGCTTCAAGCCCTGCTGGCACTGTATCCAAGGTCATCTGACATTGCTCAGATCTTAGTTTTGCTTTAATGCAACACTTTTTTCAGTCAATTAACAAAATAGAATCACAGATTTTAAAATACATACGTTTGCAAAGTATTATGGCCAGTAAATCCCACTCTGAGGTCCCATGGGTTTCCTCGAGCCATATGGGCACACCTAAGCTCGATGCATTCCTATATATAGGGGGAATAAAATTCTCTAGAGAAAAGTGTTTAAAATGCCAGTGAATGGCTGTAGCTGCAGCACAGGCTCAGGGGACAGATGCTCAGCTGCTGCTCTGCTGCTGGTCCTCATCACACCAGAGTTACCAGTACCTGTATGAAGGAGACCTTCAGACCACACTGAGCCTTAAATGAGGAAATTGCTTCTCTGCTGATCAGGGCTTGGGTACAGCAGGGCTTCTCCAAAAGAGTCCTCT